TGTCGCGGGCTCGATTTGAGCTCTCTATCACAGCATTTGTGTAGGTACAAAAAGTGAACCGATGGGACGCGAAGTAGATGGTGGGGCTCGCCGGAATGTTCAGCGTTGTTTTTTACCATCTTCACCGTGCTCGCTGTCCCGGTCAGCCTACATGAATGGTTCAGCAGCCCCGTCTTTGCTACAATCTTTGCATGTGTGGTTAGCGCTGGTTCTATCTTGATTGTTCTATACACGTTGAAAATTTTGGATCTTTTCATACTCGATCATCGATCTGATGAGTAGTATGCTTTTTGATAAATTTGATAAACGTACATCAATCAGTTCATTTCTTGGATCACTTCTTTTTAGTAGAGACCTAAAGATGGTACATCTCGGTTCAGTTATTGAAAAAGTATTGTACATGTGAGAAGAAACAGTGAGGGCCTTACAACATTTTGAAACCTTTGATTACATAGAGGATAATGGTTGGGGCCATGGTGTAGCCATTGTCGTGGTATTGTTGGACTATGAAGGTGTAGTCTGATAATGGGCCTGATGCTAGAACCATGTAACCAGCAACTTTCAGCTTTAGTTAAACCCAACTCTGATGAAATAATAGTTGTAGAATGCATTGGCTTCAGATCTACCCGTTTCGGTAGCCGGCTGAGTTGAACTAGGTATCGTGCCTCTCATTATTCCTCTTTGTGACACATTCTCTTGAAGAATAAATTGATGAGCTAACATCATACTCATCTATCAAGGATGTATGAGTGCCATGTGTTCCATTATACAGATGTAAAGTTGGTAGTGAATGAACAGAACTGTTTCACTTGGGAAGAAAAATATGAACACAATTTTGATTTCTTTTCCCCACTGTTGATCACCTTCTTTTTGTGTTGTACCCATTATTGTATTGTCCTCATTAATGCTATATTGGTCTCAGAGGATCTAAGTTGAGTTCATCTCCTAATAAATGCTAAGAATGAACTCATAAAATAAGTAATTAAATTGCAAATTGATAAATTCAATTTCATGGTAAAATAAGTATTTACAGTAATTTGTATGCAGATGTTCCCGCAGCAACGTGCGGGGAATCATCTAGTGTAATATAATGACCGATGCCATCATTGACTTTAATTGCCACACTACCTCATGTAACAAAGTTTTGGATACACTGCCGCCATTTACTAGGGAATTCTTTCATTCTCAGGGCTTGTTCAAGGAATGTCCATTTGACCTTGTCATATGCCTTTTCACAATCAATCTTGAAAACCACTCCTCTCATATTTCTCTAGTGCATCTCGTGAACGGTGTTATGCAGGATTACTACTCCATAGATAATGCAGCTTGCCTAGGCTCAGTCACAGGGGTGCTAAAATATTTGCGCTAGCAGTCGTTTAATTTAGCAGTTCGGAAATGATAACATAGGATAGCTAGGACTCAGACACACATACTAATAAGAATAATAGCAGTGCCTTCCAACACAGAGTTCATACAGTCTCTGCACTGCATACATAGTGCAGTGGTTCTGTGTGTCTACTTTATTTTTCATGGGATGCGCCGAATCATGCATGCCAACCACATTTTGCTCAACCCCTACCTAGGATGTCTCCAAGGAGCATCTTGTTCACACGCAGAGACTCCTAATTGATTCCCATGCCGAGCTGTGTGATAACCTTATTGGTTAATATGCGAACGTGTTCACTGCATCCACGACAGCTTAGGATCCTCTCCATGTGTTAGATCGCTTCTTCGTCGTTTGAGATCTGGCTACACAGCTGGGCGCCGGTCTGTCCCGGAGAAGCCATGAGCAGGGACCACTACCGGAACAGGGCTCTAAGCCGACAGCCAAATGTATGCCGACGGCCACCGTCGGCCTAACCCGAGCTATGCCGACAGCTAGGTCCTGGCCGTCGGCGTACAATGGCCGTCGGGCTATCCCCGTCTACGCCGACAGCAG